ATTTGGCTTGACTAACGATAAACTAAGACATGATGCACATACATACAAAGACAACCCTGTTTTTTGCAAATAGTTTTTTAAAGAAGACACATAAGTAAAATCAGACAAAACTATAGACATTTTCCACTATCGATCTAAGAAGCTCACCTAAACTGCCACATTATGTATTTTAAGCAAGGAGGTGGCATAATTTCAATCAAAATTAATAATTAACGTAAATTGTAATTCGGTTATAAGATTGGCCATGCCCTATTTTAGGTCATTGCGGGATAGAGCTTCATGTAGACGTTACAAGAAGCTGTCCCGCCACTGTGCCATAGCATTACCTTATTTTTGAGGCAAAAATATATTTTTTATTTTCTAAACGTCTTATCATATTTTTATTTTATTTTATGCATTTCTTTTTATATTCTAAAATTACTTGAAATGTGACAACCTCGCGCTGCATAAATCTCCAAGCTCTTGCCGCGTACCGGAGCCATTTCTCAGCTGGCACTAGGGGAGAGAGAGATTTTACCAGCAGACTATGTGAGCAACAGAGATGGGGACATTTTACATGTATTTAAACAGTAAAATCAAGGAATGTTCGTGCCAGGCACAGCGCCGGTAACTGTTCATATAATCGCAGTTTCTCGATAATGTCGATTGTTGACTAAATTAATCGAATTTCTTTACGCGCTTTGAGTTTTTCGTTACGTTACGAAGTATTAGTGACGTAAATGTGTGTCTTTTTATGTTCGATATACTTATTTAAATATCTTATTTTCTAGTTTTTAATTTATTGTGACAATGAATAAAATGGGCGTCTTAAAAAACTCTTAGTGGTTTTTTGCTAGAAAAAAAAACTACAAATTAAAGAATTAGGGCGGCCAATTCCCGATTTAAAAATTGAAAAACAAAGTGGAAGTGGGCAAAAATCGCGGTGTCGTAAATTTAATAAATTTTTTGATAAAAATTATTGGTTGTGTGGTTGCGAAGAAACTAATAAACTGTTTTGTTTTGTATGTTTTTTGTTTAGAGGTGAAGAGACTTGCTCAAAAAAAGGCACAGACGATCTTGTCCATATGTGGGATAAAATGAAATCTCATGAAAAATTTAAAGTGCACATGAATAATGTTTTTAGCTTTTCCATATTTGGTAAGAATCGATATGTTTTAAACCAAATTACAAATTGTATAAGGTTTTGTGGAGCTATGACGGCGCGTCTGTAATGAGTGGTGGATTAAATATGTGCTATGCACACCAGATGAATTTAGTTATGACAAGTGCATGTTGTGTCAATAAGCAGGCTAGAATATTTTTTTCTAATTTATCTGGTTTGTGCTCTTTCTTTTGCACGTCTCCTCTAAGAACAAAAATTTTGGATGAGGTAGTTAATCGCAGGTTGCCAAGATCTTCCCAAACACGTTGGAATTTTCAATCGCGAGGTGCTCATACTGTTTATGAGAATATAAAAGACCTCATTACAGTTGTGGACATTATAGAAAGTACTTCACGCGATTCGTCGTCTATTTATCAAGCTAGTGAGTACAAATTAAAACTTCAGGGTAAAAATTTTATATTTTGGTTAAATATTTTTGGTAAGAGAAATAAAACTTTTTTTTAACAAGATTTAATTTATAATATCTCGAAATCCATCGATTTTTTACAACTGAAAGCTTATGAGTTGGTCTATCACCCCTTTCAGTATTATCGTTGACTTTCCGGACATCTGTATAGACAGATAGTACTTCTCAGGCCAATAACTTATAAATATATCCTTGTTAACCTTTTCTATTGAAAAAAATAAATAATTTAGCATTTATTATTTGGTCAGAATAATCTTTAAGGTAAAAAAACTAACCTAAAATAACACAGCTCATTGAATTACATCGTTATTTATGAACGTATCTATCGATATAAAAACCCGACTAGTTTTTCCATTATCTCCAATAACGCTATCGACGTATTTTTAATGGAAATAAAATACGATGACCATGGCCAGTGGCCAGTCCAGTCCAGCCTGAAAGAATTACCTTGTAACAATCGAAATGATTCTAAAATAAATCAAGGGACCTTTTAGCATCGCTCCATTGTCTTCGGGCCAAAGGTTGACATTGATGGGGAAAAACGACTGACCATTTATAAGATTCTTGCGAGGATAAAAAATGGTCGTTAGTGTCAGCGATGCTCATCTTTAAGTCTGAACGGGGGCCCTTTTTGACTACAGATATAAAGTAACATATTATGCGGTATGCGGGTCGATAAAAATGCTTTCTGCGATTACTTTACAGTATTAATTTTTTTTTATTTATTTATTATGTTTATTTTATTTTATAAATTGGTTAAAGTCATAAATTATTTTAAAAATTAGTTATTTTGTCTTAAAAACTTAAAGAGACGAGGTCTTAAAGTAATAGCTGGTACAGCATGTTTTTTAAACGTTTCCTCATTGCTGCTAGAATGAAATCACTTACTATGAAATGTGCTCGAAAAACGGCATTTATAGCAGTCAGTGTTCAGTCTTAGGATCTCTTCCTAAAGCCCTCATCCAAGCTGCATATATATTAAAAAATAATTTAAAAAAAAACATATTATATACCTATATAGTTTTCGGTTCTGGGTTCCCTAAAAGAGGGCACTTAGCCGACAATTTGGCTCAGATAGCTAAAACCCAAGAGTCACACCCCAAACCAGGACGTATAGCTATCCTTTTAAGTAAAAAATAACTACAAATAACTTACCTGAAAAATGAAGGCGTCTAACTTTACACCAAAAAAACCATACACTTTTTCCCATTGTTGCAAGCACCCGATGACTATTAGGTAGATATCAACTAGAAGCATGTACTTAATGGTTATAAAGCTTATTTTAACACAAAAAGAATAAAGCACTAGTCGAAAAGCAGCAATCAAATATAAATAGACCACAATATTAAAATTCAAATTAAAAACTATATAAAAGACAAATACTCTAAAAGCGCAAAAGATCAGAACCAAATAAAATGAATAACCATAATAACCTAAAAATCACACTAAAATTGCAAAAACTATTACTGTAAAATCATGAGATTACATCAATAATGCATATGCGTCGGAGTATCGCAAATGTCAAAAGTACAGTGTTTCCATGAAAATTTAGCTGTTTTTAGCAGTATTATAGAACCATTTCTACCACACGCATCCAACGATATTGGCGTTCCACAGTTCACTGTATTTTCCTCACACCTCTAGTATAAATGATTTGACATAACGAAACTAACAATAATTATAATTAATGTAGTAAGTGATTCGTAAATTCTAATTAAAACAATTATTATATAAAAGTGTAAAAGGAAATGTAATTTATTTCCCTATTTTCTTCTGTAATATCTTCAATTATTATGTTTAATTTCTAAAAATAAACCAACTGGTTAGGTGAAACATTGTGATATAAGATTTTATTTATGTGTCCTATGCGTACACTTTAATATACAAAACACCTGGAACATTCTTTAAATAATTGTGGTCGTAGAAATAATTGTGTACATAACTCGTTTGACAGTGTATTTTATGCACTTGGCAAATATATTATCTATACAGATTAATCAGACTATTTTTTTACTTAACTTCAGTACATCTCTTACTACTAAAACTATTTTTATCAATGGAAAAAAAGGGCCGTGTTCTCGTATGTTTTGACGCATTTTCGGCCTCAGCCCATCGGATCCCCCCTCTAAATATATATAAATTTTGCTTAGAATTGCTAATCCTACAATTCTCTATTCGTGCTTGCTGACTGGGAAAATAAATACCGAAAATCGCCACTGTCTCCTGGACTATACAATAGATGATGATGAGAACTTCACAACAAATACACTTTTATGAATGGCTAATTGGGGATGTGTCTATATCATATGCTTGTGGATAAGAAACTATTTTCTACCCGTGTGTGAATATAAATCTATTTTCCAAATAAGCTGTCACATACGTCAAACTCATCATATTTATTTTGATCTATGTAATGTTCCTTAATAGTAAAATTGATTTGATGATTAATTGTTAACATTGATTTTTATGACTAGATCCTAGATATTTATTTCTGTTTTTTGTTAAGTTTACATATTCGAATAGATAATTCACTTAACATAAGCCTGATGCTTAGTTCATAAAGTACTCAACTTTATCAACTCGCATGTCGCGACCATGTCGCGACGCGGGTTTAATTCCCGATAGAAGCAATATTTTTATTTTGGTAAAAAATTAAAATTGAAAAAATACGATATTATACCAATATCCTTAAAATATAAAATAAACACTAAAATAATATCAACATACCTGCATATATCTAAAAGAACGGTATAAAATAATACGGATTTCACGGTCGACAATTTTAATATTAAATTAGGCAAACAAGAGGAAGTACCAAGACAAACGACATAGTTTATGATGTTTCGCGGTATTTCTAACTCTAATTAACATGGTAATTAGTGACAAAGTTTGTTTTCCAACTTTGCGTCGAGCAGGATTCGTTCTCACCGCATCCTGGACAGCCGCGCTTGTTCGGGATAGGTAGGAAAAAAAATTGAGGTATTTTATCAAGAGACTTGCTAAATACGTACGTGGAGGTAGAATTTGAAGGAAAACCATAGTTTTGCGTGGATTTTGTAATTTTATCAGTGGGTGTACAGTTTGTGGACAAGTCTGCTTATACTTGTTTTTAGATAAATATAGTTTTTGATAATGTTTAGAAATTGATAAATATCTTTTTATAATATATTTTTTTTTAATCTGTCTAGAGTTTTTACTAATGATTGGTCAGTTAACGCGATTTTTAATGTTTCCTATTACTATTTCTATATTCCTCTGTCTTTACACATATTAAAATGTATACAAATGCCTTGCCTTGTATTTAGTTGTAAAACATTGTAATATTTTAATAGTTGTTACCAAATGAATGTATTATCCTAGAAATGTAGACCAAAAATATATTGTTTACGAAAATTTCAACTATAAAATTATTATCATTTTTTTTTATTACAGAAAATCGTACATTAGAATTACATTCCCCAGACGCCATCCATACCTGCGTGCTTCGAGCGTCTGACCCACCAGAATCCATAGCTTGGTTCAACACCCTCCATTCGGCGTTATCCATTTTAACCACCGCTGCTCTCCATGATGCTTCCAGAGCGATTCCCGATTTGAGGTATATTGGATGGTTATTGAGAAGGCCGAGATCAGAGGTAAGAAATTAATTATCTCTCAGCTTCGCCTTATTAAAATTCTTTCATTCTCAGCAACCGAAGTCTCATTTAGCGAACTATTTTTTTCTATGAACGTTCAGAACAATACCACTTTCCACACGTATATTAATTAAGAATATACGTTATATTTTGAACTTACTTTAAATTTGAACATATTTCTTATATTTATTCAATAAAAATACCGATAAATATTACAATTTTCCATCGCTTGTCCTTGATATAATTATTATAACCTTGTAGTTTCCGTAAAAGCTATTCATTAACACGAACGTTTAAAGATATCATATATATTTAAGGCCAAGTTCAATTTCGTTTGACATATAATCACGATTTTTTTTAGGTTAGAAAATTGTATTATCGATTTTTTCATTCGAAGTAATCAAGACGTCACTTTAAATTTCTATCTCTTTATGTTAAGAGCGATATCCATGGTTAGAAACAGGCTTAAAACGACTTCAAGGTTCTCTTTCTCAGTTTTAAATATTTTTTTATAAAATTTGGTATACCTACTAAGCAAATGATAGAGAACTCCGCTGTAGAGCCCGAATTCAGAAAAACTAATTTTTTAATTATTTCTATACAAATTATGAAAATTATTGCAAAAAGGAGTCTTTACCGGGAATTGTTATATAAAAATCAGCTAATTCTTTCCAATACACTTTTTTGTCCAAAGTGTATATTTTTTGAAAACCTTGAATTAGGAAATCTGAGAAAATCTGTCAAGATTCCAATCCATATTAATTGATTTGGCAACAAGGCGGCGGACGTTGGCGGTGCATGCAGTACCGGAAAATTGTGATAAAAATAAAATAATAAATAACTTTATTCTTTTTAGTTCAAGTGTAGGTGTTTTTGTTTCGTATTTAGTCAATGTGTTTATATGAACTTTTATGTGTAAGCTGAGTTATAATAATTTGTGATAAAAATGGGAAAACTTTCGGAAATGCCGAAAATTATATTTCCGTTTCGACGGAAATCTATAAAATATCGTGCTAGATTACTTAGAAAAAGACAAACATTAGCACCCCTTCTAAGCATTAAAGTTAAAATATATGGGAAATTAATATACTAAGTATTGAATAAAAAAAAACCTTTAGCTTTAAAGCAATATTTACAAATTTAAAGCGGATATCCAATAAATGTGGTTTATTTGTGGATTCTGAATATGGTTTTTAGGTTCCGACGGTTTATTAGGAACAGACAGTATTATCGAAATTAAATGTCCTGCCACTGATTCAAAACTGACTCCGAAAAAAGCAATGGTTGACAACATAATAAAATTTGCAATTATTAATGATAATGCGAAAATGCAATAATTGTTCAGGGGCAACTTAACGTAACTAAACGAAATATTTTTTTTTTTTATTTATTTTAATACCTTTAAGTATGTTAGTAGAAAAAATAAAAAAGATGATAGATTTTGGTGTATATGGAAAACAAACTAAAGCAATTTTATTTAGATTGTATACTACCCGAGATCTTAGATCCACGTTTCACTAGAGGTTTAGATATTAGAAATTTGAGTAGAAATCAGAGTAGAAATCCGACCAATAGTCAATAAAAATGATTATTTTTATTCCTTCTTTTACTAATAATAAATCATTTTACTCAATGTTATTTTTAAATATTTTTAGTACTAGAAAACAATTTTTTCTACACCCAAATGGATAGCGTATCTACGTACAGACTACAAAACGAAAAAATATGCTATTGCGTAAAATGAGTTATACTTGTGTAGAATCGATAAATAATAGCATTTCTAGTTTTATTTGATCTATATTTAGAAATAAATAATTATAAATTTTAATTAAACTATATGAAATCAATTTAATTTATATTCACTCATGTTACACAAACTACTATTTTCTACATCCACATGGATATGCTTTTTTCTATACCCACATGAATATTAGCTAATCTACGCACATACTACAAAACAAAAAAGTATTCCATTGCGTTCAACTGAACGAATATATTTCATATTCATTCTACCTAGTAAGAACACTGCAAAACAGTTAAATCCACCAATCAGATTATATATTGGTCACCCGGCTACTATTATTTTTTAAATTTTATGTAGTTAAACTAACTGTCAGTATATTTTTGAATTATTGAGATTAAATATACGTAAAAATGAATATTTCTTATGTATAATCGATAAGTAATAGAATTTCTATTTTTATTTCGTCCAAATTTATAAACAAATCTTAAATTTTAATCAAACCATATAAAACTAATTTAATTACAAGTATTAGAACTATAATGGCAAGTGTGGCGACGGCACGGAGTTTGTCTCCAAGCGAGAGACCCGAGTTCCAATCATGGCTGGGGACTAATTAAATTAAATCTTTTTGTATGTTTATTTTATTTTATAAATTATTAAAAGTCATACATTATTTTAAAATTATTTATTTTGTCTTAATAAATTACTTTTTTAAATTTGTAGAATTTCGTTAGGGTGTCGTAGAAAAAATATACTGTACAACTCGAGTGGATTGTCTGTATCGCACTCAGACGATTAAGCACTCCGTCTACGGCGTCGTTCTGAAACTTCGTCTTCGTGCGATATGGCCATCATATCCAATTTTGTTGCACAAACTACTATTCACGCACAGACTACAAAACGAAAAAATATACTATTGCGTTCAACTCAACGAATATATTTCATATCCATTCTAGGTAGTGAGAACACTGCAAAAAAATGAAATCCACCAATCACAGTTTATATATTGGACACCCAACAACTATTATTTTTAAAATTTTAAATAAGTGACAATTCTGTCAAACTAATTGTCAGTATATTTTTTAGGAATTGAGATTAAATATACATTAAAATGAGTTATTTTTGCGTAGGATTCATAAATAATTTTAATTTAGACCACAATTTAAAAAATCCTAAATTTGAATTAAACTACCTATATGAAACTAATTTAATTACTACTTTTAGAACTAAAATTTTAAATGTGGAGGTGAAAATGATGATACGGCATCTGTCTTTCACGCGAGAGGTCCGAGTTCAAATCTGGGCTGGGGACTAATTAAATGAAATATTTTTTCATGTTTATTTTATTTCACAAATTAGTAAAGTCATAAATTATTTTAAAATTAATTATTTTGTCTTTTCCTAAAATAATACTTTAAATGTGTAGATTTTCGTTAGTGGGTCGTAGAAAAAAACATACTATACAACTCCAGTGGATTGTCCACTGTTGTTGCACAAACTAGTATCAAATGGGTTATTATTTAAAAAAAGTATTTTTATACAGGATATTTGTAAATAAGTACGAACGATTTTTGCAAATTGTTATCAAAGTTATTTTGTTAAAAAAAGTTCCTATAAAAGTAGGTCGAAATATGCTTCGTTTCCGAGATACAGAATGTTTAAATTTTAATTTATTAAATTTTATTAATTATTTTTAATAGTTTTAAAGATATTTACTCTAAATTTGCAAAAAAACTTTGAAGGGGCAAATGTGTATTTTTTGGGGTGTTCCAAATATTTCTACTTGTACCAGTGGCGTTTGTGCGAGAATGCCACTTTTTTAATAAAAAAGTACTGCGCCACTGACTTTTTCGATCTATGTTTTTTTTTATAAAATAACTTCGGCAAACATTCCCTAAAATCATTCACACTTACCAACAAACACCCTGTATATCAGAAAATGTAGAAATTGGTACATATGTATATTTAAAAATATATTTCGTAAATAAATAAATTAGTTATAAAAAAAATTTTTCGAAAATGTTACACCAGGTTATACCTTTAAAAGATATTTTAAACGAGAACACAAAACAGAAATACTCTTTGTTAGACCGGACCTGCGATTTATCGGCATTTTTAATATTTTAAATCATCTATAGTTTATAAAGTAATAAATTGAAGGGAGCGTAAGCCTGGGAATAAAGCAACGTTGCCAAAGTGGGTTCAGATGCACTGAAAGTTGTCAGTGTGTTCTAAATCTGAATTTGCTGTTAGGTGTTGCATGGATATCGCTCTTAACAAATATGTAACACGATGAATTTATAAAACGTATGTCACTAATGAATATGTGGCGGCAACTGACGGCAACACTGTCAGCTACTCCATGGCTACTAGAGTACATACAGGTCCGGTATAAGCCATATATAAATGGAAAATAATAATTTAATGTTTTGATTGAGTTAAATAAAATATCAAAATTAAATGTTTATTTTTAAGTAAACGACATTTTTAAATGTATACGTCTTCAATCAAATAATATAGGCTAATACTCAAGTGTATACGAGTGTACTGGACAAGAGATAATTTTACCCTTTACTCCAGTTTTTTGTAATGAAACCAGCGGTAAAATAGATATTTGTATACCAAGGCTGTGTTTTGGCCAAATTAGACATATGCGTTCGAGTCTAAGCTAGTTCTGGTTAAGTATAAGAGTAATAGGCAAGAAAAGGGTGTTCAATCAAACTTGACACTTTGAAATTTTCAAAAAGTTTTTAAGGCGGTGCTGTAAAATTTGGCTCAAATTTTTAAATTTGGTATAACTTTTTTTTGAATGGTGGACAAACGAAAATTTTTATTGGACAATCGTGGACAAATCATGGACAAACGAATGGAAATTTATTTTTATTAAAATTCTGATTTGGCGGTGCTAACTTCACGGACCTATATTTACAATACAAATAGCTCATGACAACACGCGTTGTCATTATATATTTTAAAAACATTTTTGTTTTCTTCACTAAAAATAAATAATTGAGCTATTGTACAGTGTTGCCAGAGCAAAAATTTTTCGTACGAAAATTACAGTCAAATTGTACCAGATTCAAACAAAATGTAGCAGCTTATAAATGCGCATGCGTTATTTGAACATTTTTAAATGTCGACCATAATAATCGCCTAATAAGTCAAATTTTTTGCATCTTAGGTTAAAATATAGTTTATTTAAGTGTAAGGGGTTTATTTTAATGTTTATTGGTCTTTAAAATACAGAAAGAGAAAAGATCTAGTACATTTAGTCGGTACTGTAGAGTGTAGAGAACTGTAACAGTATATAATATAGATAGTAGGGTAGGAACTATAAATTAGATTTTGATAAATAAAACAATAATGTATTTTTTTAATTGTATATGATATCTTTAAACGTTCGTGCTAATGAATAGGTTTCACGGAAACTACAAGGTTGTAATTATATCTTCGGACAAGCACGGAAAATTAGGATCAATTTTCCTTACAGTAAGTCAATTAATCCTTAAATTTTCTTCCTATAGATATTGTATTCATTTTTACGTATTTTTCCGCATAAAATTTGTAAATTAAAGCTCGCTTCGCAGAATTTATTAAACCCTGATGTAAACCCGTTATCAAGCCAATAAAATAAAAGTTTGCATAACGTTTAAACTCCAAATCAAAACACAGCTATTATTGTGCAGCGAGCATTGTTCAAGAACAAGAGTTGAACGTGGAAATGTTCATTTGAAAAAGGCTAATCTAGCATTAACAGATAATATTCTTAGATAAAACGGTAGTAAAATTAAATATGCAAATTAAACTGACTTGCATCTACTGGAGTTTATTCCAGTATCCCTGACGTGTATACTCGTAAAACGTAGTAGTTGCCATTGTTGTTACATCTAAGGATCTTTTTGCAGGTATAAATTTTACGCCTTTAGATTTCGGTAATAAAAAATCGTGCATGCTGCAACTTTGTAAAGAGACAAAATTTGTTTAGAAGTCATTGCTGCAGGTCATAAACTAGATCATAAACTAAATACTTCACTTTAACGTTCGAAAGCGTAAAGTAATACAATAAATTTACAGTAGAAAGATGAGTCGAAAGTATTTATTTTGATCTAGAATAATACCTGGTGATTGGACCCTTTTGAAACCCTATATACAAAATATTAGGTAGGTACCCGAAGTAACTCATCTTTTAGAAAAAAAAAAAATGCAAAATATTGACCGACTCCAAGCGGATCGAATTAACTCATCATTTGGAAAAACCTCTAAAAACATTGGCCGATTCCAACTCGACTTTTGGAAAAACAGTGGAAAATATTGGCTGACCCTACCATCTACGTTAGTAAGCTCAATTATGGAATCTTTAAGTTTGAATGCAATGTACTTATAATTCAACTCTTACGTTTATACAACCACAGAATATCAGCAACTGCAAGACTTTTATAGGGGTTGTAAAGTAAAGTAGAAAACATCACCCTAGCAGTTTTACAGTACTTTCCCTCGAAAGTTGTTCTGAAACGTTTTATAGATGTTAAAATGTGAGTTAGTTCAACAGCCATTATACAGTGTGTCCATAAATGAACTTAAGTATACTTAAATCACCATAATTAACGACTGCAACAATGAGTAGATATATACTAGAGGATAGCTAGGTTCTGTGATTTTTTCTTGTAGTCGCAGATCATTTAAAATGTACAGATATATCACCTTTTTAAAATTAAGCCTCTTAACTTATTTTTGTATAAAAAACTTTTTTTATATACATATGTATAGTATATTTTTATTATTTTAATTTATTATTTATGCAAATTCTTTTAATGATTCAAAAAATGAACATTTAATAAATTTTTAAGAAACATGCAATCTAATCACACGTGGCTTGGAAATCTTTTTATTTATGCTGTAATGTTTCATAAATATATGAAAATTTATTAGAAAATAATACATTATTTGTAGTTCTATAGTATTACGTCTAATTAAAACATCACTGAAAGGCTTGCCAACGTTTTGTGCTACCTGGGCATTTCCCGAAATAACTCATCTTTTGGAAAAACAATGAAAAACATTCAATATATTTTTTTAAACTGATTCTCTTTTTCCCAGACCCTATCAAGTTCAGAATCCTCCGAAGACATGGACAGATGGTCATCCATCTTCGCAGCCGTGACGGACAGCGAGCTACGCTTCTACGAAAGCGCGCCGTGGTCTGGAGAAGCGTGGCGAGCCCCGGCCGAAGCCTACTCGTTGATAGCCACTCGTCTAGTGGGATCTGGCAAGAAAGCGGATCTACCCGAGTTTAGTATAAGATGCGCGACAGCAGAGGGCGTTATTACACATACGCTGAGGGCGGAAACGCACAGAGATTTAGCAGCGTGGGCGAAAGCTTTAATTAATGGTAGTCATGCTAGTGCTGTGACGCAGAGGGAGTTAGTGTGTAGTAAGTATTGTGGATTATTTCAATCATTACGTTTTATACACTTTTAAAGATTATATAAATATTAAATCGCATAGTTTTATCAAAGCGAGATTTTTACTTTCCATAATCATAGGCGTACCAAATTATTCTCCGTTATAAAGTAGTTTATATTCTAAACATCGTATGTGTAATCATATTGCTTTTTGCAAAAAAGTTATGGAAAACCGAATAAAATTACTAAGAAGAAAAAATCACCCTCCAGCTTTTAAAATGATTTCTAATAGGCGAAAATTCATCACTTCGTTAATTCTACTGTATACTTAATACGGGATTTAATATTTATTTAATGTTTTTTTCTTCTTTTTAGAACAAACTTTGAAATAACCTCACAAATTCATATCAAAACAAGATTCTAGGTTATGTATTCTATTTTGACGTTTAATTTTTAATCCTTTTGACTTTAACTCTTTACTGTAATGCGTTTTTAGGGTGCGTTTGGAAAGGTCGACCTGTCCAGTTAGTCATCCACTACGAAAACGGTTTCACCTTGTTGGAAGCAGGGACGGGATCGAAAACATTGTGGAGGTATCCGTTCGATAGGTTACGAAACTCATCGGACGACGGGAAGAGGTACCTTTGGCTGGATTTCGGTATCGAGGGCGAAGGAGACGTCGTAAGTATAACGTAATAAGTGTTAATTAGAACTAGACAGAGGAATTGTGGAAATGAATCCCAAGAGGTGTTGCTTGAGTCGAATTGAGTTGTTTGATTTTGTTGAATCGTTGAAAATGTTCGTGATAATTCAGGTAGACAGGGCAATAGCTTGGAAACTGTTGAATATTTTAATATACATAGTGATCCTACAATTTAATTTTTTATCGCAATCCGAAATAAAAATAAAACTGTCTCATTTTAAATAAGAAAGTTACCACCTACTTCTAGTATAAGAGGATATTTTAGATAAAAACTCCATGACCTGTTTATAATTTTTACCAATTTTTAACAAACTATAAGTCATTTTATTTATATTTTTCTTTCATTACAATAATAATTATATTTATTTTGACAGGAACTCGACTTGGAAGGATGTCCGAAGCCAATTGTCTTCATTTTACACAACTTCTTATCTGCCAAAATTCATCGACTAGGCCTGACAGCCTAAATCAACAACAATAACACATAAAAGATAATTTCAAATCGAATCTGAATTTTTCTGGATTAATGAGTGACTTGTCAATTAATAGCTGTACAAAAAAAATACAAGATATTTCCGAAAATCCATCAAGAGTATATAAAAACAATGAAGATGAAGCTTACAACCAATCGGCAATCGCCCTGTAGATTTTTACGCTATTCTAACGATTTTAAGATTATTTTTTTTTTTGTAACATAAAATTTAAATTTTCATAATGAAATTATTATCCCAATTTTATACATTAGGATAAAAATATTTAAGTAATTTATTTTGCTTTAATATTTATTCAAAATTTTATTTATAAAAAAAAAAATATTTGATGCCGTTGGTTAAATTACGAAAAACTGTATTTACAAATATGTTTCTTTGTTTCAACTTGATAATATTTAATGTTGATTGATATTTTAGGCCAGTAGGTAGGTAAATAAAATTCTGTAATTACACGTAACTACTTACTGGTTTATTACTACTAACCAAAGATGAAAAATTAACAAAATATTCAGGTTTCTAACTTACATGTAACTAGGGTGGCTAACTTTATAATAACAAATATTTTGGCTAAATTTAAAAATTATAATTTAAATTCAGGCTTATATTTACAAAAAAATAGATCTATTACCCCAAAATGTTTTAACAATTGGCTATTTTGGTATATTAAGAAAAATAATTATTTTTGTATTGAACAGAAATAATATCATATTTTGCAAACAATTTTCGGCTATATTTTAGAAAATTTGGAAAAATGCTCGAATATGTCATTTTTTAATTTAAATTGTAAATGGTCTTTTAAGTAGTTTTTTCAATCTTTTTTTTGAAGATATTTTCTTAATACAGTTTTCTTTTCTTTTACTACTAATTTTATTTCTTTGTTCCACGACTTTGTTCTTTTTAAATGTTTATTGAATTGAATGTTTCTACATATATCCTGTTTTCTTATAATAATTTAATTTTTTAAGTATTCATTCAGTGTTTTCATGTTTAATTTATTTCAATTCTTTGTCCATCTGTTTTTGGTATTTTACTTTCATTTCTGTGTTTTTGGTAACTTAAATTGTGTAAACTACTATTGAAAATGCCAAGATGTGTTGTTAAGAACTGTATCTGATAAAGGGATCCTGCATGACTCATCTTTTAAAAACGCAATGAAAAACATTGACTGACCACAAGGTTCCTAAAATAATTCTTCTTTTGGAAAAACAATGGAAAACATTTTTCAAGTGTCCATTCAATGTTTTCATTTTCAAGTCGTTCGAATTCTTTATTAGTCTGTATTATTGTTATTCTTTTCTGTATTTTTGATGACTTAAATTACCGTTAAAAATTCCAAGCTGTTGTTAATCATTGTACTTATTATAAAAGTGTGTAGTGTGAATCTGATAAAAGAATTCTATACAACTCATCTTTTGGAAAAACATTGGAAAACATTGGCGGTCTACAAAGTTCCGAAATAATTCATCTTTTGGAAGTATATTGAAACATTTTTATTGTCAATATCCATCAGGGTTTTTATTTTTGTCTTTCGAATTATTTGTCCGTCTATTTCTTTTATTTTATTTTTCTGTGTTTCTAGTAATATAAATTACTATTGAAAATGTGTTGTAAATAACTCATTTATAATAAAAGTGCGTACTATAGATTTAAAAAAAACATTAAAAAATATTGACTGACTACAAGGTTTCCGAAATAATTCATCTTTTTGAAAAACATTGAAAAAGATTGAAAAATATTTTCCATTCAGTATTTTAATTTTCAAGTCCGTCTGTTCTTGATATTTACCTTTTTTCTTCACAGCTCATCTTCTGGAAAAACATTGGAAAACGTTGGCGGACTACAAGGTTCCAAAATCATTAATTTTTTGGAAAATAATTAAAATAATTTTTTTTTGAAAGTCTGTCTATTCCTATTAATTTACTTTCTTTTCTTTTTCTACTTCTAGTACCTTAGTTTTTAAATTCTCGTTGAAAATTACAAAAATTGTTTTTAGGAACTGCATTTAAAATATGGATCTTTTTGAAAAAACACTGAGAAATATTAGCTGACTACAATGTTTTCAAAATAATTCATCTTTTAGAAAAACATTGGATAATTTTTTCTTTTTTTTTTAACACTGAAAAATATTTGCTGACTACGAGGTTCCTAAAATAATTCATCTACAAGAGTCAATTTAGTATTTTCATTTTCAAGTTGTTCGAATTCTTAGTCCGTCTGTTCTTGGTATTTAATTTTCTTTTCTCTGTTTTTGGTGACTTAAGTTGTAAATGACCATTAAAAATGCCAAAGGTGTGTTGTAAAGAAATGTATTTTAATAAAAGTTAGTAATATTAATCTAATAAAAGGGATATTACATAACTCCTTATTTGAAAAAACATTTGTGGTGCTCGCGTCTCGTTTGGCGAGCACACAAAGAACTTCCAACATTTTATGACATTTTTATTGCTCTTTCATGTTTGACGTTTAATGTCATTATTTTTATTTTTTTGGTTATATGCAATGTCTTGAGAGTGACAACCATCTGGTCTCTTTTTTTTCAATAACGTACCTGTTATTTATGAAGCTATGCTTTTCCTTTTGTAAATCTTTACAGGATTTTCCACCAGGATAGAAGAACGAAGTAGACAAGAAATTGAGAGCCAGCCATATATAAAGGACCGCCGTTGCTATGCTGAAACAGTAGAAAGACAGCAGACAGTAAACAAACATTTTCCAAACATCACGAACAAATCCAAATTTTATAATTCCGATTATACCATTTTTATCTACTGTTTTCTGATTAAAGTTTTTTCTAAATTAGTTGTAGCCATTACTCCAAAGGATTTAGTGGTCGCCGACCGGGACCACTAAAACATTGACTGACTGTAAGGTCCTCAATATAATTCGTCTTTTGGAAAAACATGGGAAAACATTTTTCAAGTTTCCATTTAGTGTTTCCAGTTTCAAGTCTCCAATTCTTTGTCCTTTTATTCTTGGTATTTTATTTTTTATTATGCGTTTTTGATGACTTAAATTATGTAAATTACTGTTAAAAATGCGAAGCTGTGTTGAAAATAACTTTATTTTTAATAAAAGTACGTAGTGTGAATTTGATAAAAGAATCGCATCGCATCTTTTGGAAAAACATTGGAAATTGTTCGCGAACTGAAAGGTTCCAAAATCATTCATCTTTTTTAATGTCTATTACTGTTTCTATTTTCAAGTCGTTCGAATTATTTGTCTGACTAGTCTTATCATTTCACTTTCTTTTTTGTGTTTCTACTTTTAGTAACTTGAAAACGTTGAAAATAGCAAAATTTGTTTTAAAGGACTGCATTTTTAATTGAAGTGCGTAATCTGGATCTTTTTAAAAAACACTGAAAAATATTGGCTAACTACAAAGTTTCCGAAATAATTCATCTTTTAGAAAAACATTGGAAAACATTTCAAGGGTTCTTTCGGTGTTTTTATTTTCAAAACATTCTTAGTCCGTCTGGTCTTGGTATTTAACTTTCTTTTCTGTGTTTTTGATGACTTAAATTTTGTACACCATGGGAAAACATAGGCTGACTACGAGATTCCCAAAATAATTCGTCTTTTGGAAAAACATTGGAAAACATTTTTCAAGAGTCCATTCAGTGTTTTCATTTTCAATTCGTTCGAATTCTTAGTTTATCTGCTCTTGGTATTTAACTTTCTTTTCTGTATTTTTGGTGACTTAAATTTTTAAAAATGCCAAAATGTGATATAAAAAACTGTATCTGATAAAGTTATCCGGCATAACTTCTGTATCTGTAACGTGTAGAGGGCGGGTTACCCCCACGGTACTTAGGCCTCATTAGGCCCATTGTGCATCCTCGTGAGATAATAGTCATCTCCTAGCTCGTGAGCCAGCCTACAGATTTTATGTAGTTGACAACGTTGCCAAGAGGTGCTTCTCTTATATCGGCCGGTGTTAACCGATACTCGCTGAACACAAATCTTCTAATAAATTAGAGCGTCGAGCAATCGTAAAGGATATGCTCGATGGTCTCATCTTCTTGTTCGCACCCTTTGCAGAGTGAGGTTTCTGACAGCCCCATGATATAGAGATACTTTCGTATTTGGCAATGATCAGTCAGAATGCCTGTGACTAGGCGCAGATTCTGTCTAGTCATAGTCAAGTATTTGTTTGCTGCAGTGTTGTCAACATAACTTAAGAGCTCCCTGGCAACTCTGCAGTTTCTTGTTTCATCCCATCTTTCCGTGAATTTCACAAGGGAATGTTCTTTGATTAGGTCTGTCACTACCGATTTTGTCAGGCCAATAGAAGAGCCAGGTCCAAAAAGTATTTGGTTGGCTGCTTTCTTGGTTAGTGAATCAGCAAGACGGTTACCTTTCGATGTGGCGTGACCTTTGATCCATCTTAAGGTGACCACATTGTTGATGGATGCTCTGGCATAACTTATCTTTTGAAAACACTATAGAAAAACATATGCTGACTACGAGGTTCCCAAAATAATTCTTCTTTTGGAAAAACATTGCAAAACGTTTTTCGAGAGTCCATTTATTGTTTTCATTTTCAAGTCGTTTAAATTCTTAGTCCATCTGCTCTTGGTATTTAATTTTCTTTTCTGTGTTTATGGTGACCTAAACTTCATAAGTTACTGTTGAAAATGCCAAAATATGATGTAAAGAACTGTATCTAATAAAGTTATCCGGCATAACTTATCTTTTGAAAACACCATGGGCAAACGAGGTTCCCAAAATAATTCGTCTTTTGGAAAAACATTGGAAAACATTTTTCGATAGTCCATTTAGTGTTTTCATTCAAGTCGTTCGAATTCTCAGTCCGTCTGTTTTTGGCATTTTAAATCGTGTAAATTACATTTGAAAATTCCAAGGTGTGTTGTAAAGAGTTGTATTTTTAATAAAAGTCCGTTGTGTGAATCTGATAAAGGGAGATTACATAACTCATTCGTTGAAAAAACAATATAAAACATTGGCTGACTGTAAGG